TCAGCAACTAGGCATCAACTGCGCCTTGGTTTCGTTGCCGAGGAGAGTGATAAAAGCAAGCGATTTGCCTTGGCAGCCATCAGGAAACTCCGCCACAATGGCAATATCGATGAGCACAACCGGCCTGCGGTTCCTGAAGTTCAGCATGTGACCGTGCGAGAGCGGTTGGAAGAGCGCACCGAGCAAACCCCTTCAAGAGCTTTTTATGAAGCTTTGCAGAGTCAGAGGCACGCAGTGGCCACCACTTTGGAGAAATGGCGCCGCCAGGGTGAAGGCAATCCGAAAGGCTGTTTGAACGAATGCCTGATGCACATCTCTAAGGGCCCACTGGACAAGGGTTTCCTGGAGTATCACGAATCGGCCCCGACAAGCAGTGATCCAGACAGAGTTCCAGACAGGTTTGAGTTTGAGGTGCACATCCCATCGTTGTCTCAGCACTTTCCAGTGGGCCAATCAGCACAAAATAAAAAGGGGGCAGAGCAAAATGCAGCCTTGAGCGCCCTTAAGGAACTGGAGCGCTGGTGCAAAATGCCTTCGGACATGCCTGGCAGAGCGGCTGTGGGACCCTCTCAGCCGTCTCTCTCCCAGAGCGATGCTGCCACAGCTTCCTCTGCTACAGCCCCTTGACAGGGAGGTCAGTCGGAGCGGATGAAGCGGTAGCTCCAGAGGCCGGGTGATGTGCAAAGCTGAAGAGTCATCCCACCAAACGCAATATCTTAAAGTATGCGTGTTCTAATGATGCTTTTCCTTTGCTTTTTAGAAGACCAGTAGACCTGGCCGTCTTTATCTCTTCGGCTTTCTTAGGCTCTTCCAGATCAAAGCTCTGATCAACACGAGCACGTGCCTTCGAGCACTCCAAGTCCAGAGGTGCGAGCGTGCCATTTCAGCCAACGAGAGGGTGAACAAAGGTGAAGAGGCAAAAATACTCAAAGGGATGCATTTTTTGAGCAAAAGCACAGACTCTCCGATTCTCAGTCCTTGCAGGTTGGAAGGACAGATCTGACAGATTTGGGGGCATTTTGCGTGGGGAGCTCAAGTCTCTGCGAGTTTTGTTGGACCAACGATTATGATTGTGATCCATTGTGCAACATCACCCAAACAAGCGGTAAAGCAGCCTTATGGGTTGGCCAGTTTTGTTGAAAGTCGTGACCGATGTGAGACATTATTTGCTCGGTCTTTCAAGTTCTTTTGTTTGGTCTTCGATCGAATCTCAAGCTTCAAGAATGCTCGCTCCAGCTTCGGTCACCGGCAGAACCGACACAGACTTTCAGACGTCGTGCTCCAGCAGATGAGTGACGAGGACAGGGCAAGGACCAAGGAAACACCCGCCGTATGAATGCATGTGTTTAAATTGATATAGTCTATTTGTGACTAGTGGAGATGAGCGGAGCGATGTAGACTGTAGTCCCAGCATGGTCACCTCAGGAGCCTCAGCAAGTAGGGAGGGCCGCAAGAGCGAGAGCCACATGGCTTGAGGTGTGCGGTTCACATGGGACTGAATTCTATTTACTTATTAATGCTTTTTAAAGTCTATTTATTGTTTCTACTAGCTTCTTGTTACTACTAGTAAGGCCCTTGTTACTAGTAGCGATGCCAGGAGCCCCTAGTGGCGTCCTTTGCTCCTGAGAATTCAGTGGGTCGGCTGTGGGTCTAATGGGCGGACCTCCCGACCTGCATCAACCATGAAACGCGCGATTCCTTCTCGAAGGAGATCACAAATCGCTTTGAGCTGGTGGACCTGAAAGAGGAGGCGGACCGGCTGCGAAATCAGAGGCTTGTAGAATGCAATTCAATGCAATTGAAGCAGGGAGTTCTGAGTGGAATGTCACATGCATGGGGGGGTCTTTGAAGTTCATGTTTCAGCTGTCCCGCAGCTCATCGCTCTTATGGCAGGAGATTGACGAGTTTTGCAAACAACTGACGCTGGGTGAGCGCGCTCGGCTGCGAAAAGGAATTCAGGAGCTTCGCGACTCGCTTCGCGAGTCGAAGGTGCACTGAGCCCATCTTCGGGTCTCATGAGATCCTGGCATGTTAGAGTTGAAAGACCATGAAAACACCAATGCCCCATCATGCCCCTATGACCATTGCATGATTTTAGTTGCCAGGGTGACGAGCATGAAGCATGTATGGGCATAATGTCTCGCAGGGAAATCGACTGATCGACCGATGTCGCAGTCCTCTTGTGGAGGGCCGGGAGTTTTGGGTGAAGATAACGACCAAACGATGCCCAAACTCACATCTTCTTTCATCAGTGCAACAAGCCCTCTCCTACCCTCCATCGATGTCCAAACTTGGAAGATTGGCATGGCTTACGTTGAGCTGTGGTCGGAATGGTGCGCATGCATCTCAGAGCAGTGCATCATGGCACCAGTGCATCATGACCTCTCCACCGATCGGTCTGAGATGCTGTCGTGCTTGCTGGGAGCATTCTCGGCACCGTGAGTTCAATCCGGACTCAAAGCGATGAGCCAAAAAAGCGATTGAGCCTCTTGAGGACTGGCATGTCACCCAACCAAGTACGGCTTCAGCGATGTGTCATCCCATCCAGCGTCACTCGACGAATCAAGTGCTGAGGTGCCTTTGGATCCCTTTGAGAAGGCCGAACTCAACGCCTTCAAGGATCTTCAAGGAGCCGCTTGGCTTCGAGGACCATAAGAACTGGTGAAATGCTCATGACAAAGACCGGAAAGAGTAAAGGAAGGATGAATCCAGATATGGGTGTGAGTCAAGGATTTGGTGACCCAAGCGCCGGAGATGGTGATTGGATCGGTGTAGAAACCTCATGAAATCTCCAGGTTGCATGATGCAAAGCACTAAATCCCCAGAAACATGGCGTGTAATTGTGGCTACGGGCCGATATTATTAAGGTTAATTATTACATAGAACATGGAATTGTATATAATCATGGGGGACCAGTTTCAAGTGATGAACTAGACTTCCACAGATGACATGCGCACCATTCGTTGAACAGAGCCACTTTCTGAGATCATCAGTGGAGGCGGTTCACATTGCATTGCTGTGATGTGCAACATGGTTGCACCATGTGTTGCACGATTGGTGAACTAAGGCTTAACCGCCAAAGATTATGTTGAGGAAAACCCCTTTGATATCACTAGGCCCTTTGTCTCTTGTGCCCTGGAACTTCAGGCATAGCAAAGCATCGAAGAGAGACATCAGTTCATGGGGCTCAAGAACCAACAGCTTTCTCTAGAAAGACCTTTCTGTGCTGCCGACGGCCGAATTGCCATGTGAGTCGATGCAGACAACTCCCCAGAGGTGGCTTCTGTGAAGATCGTGTAGGCGACCGGCCAAGCCCTAAAAAACCGCACGCCGGGCGCCTCAGAAGACATTTCCCTCCGCAACAATGCCCGAGTAAGACTGTTTCCACCGTGGCACTTTTTTCATCTTTGTTTCAGTCGAGAAAAAGTGAAGCCATGGGACAGATTTGGACGGCCCGAGAGATTTCTTGGACTTTCTGGTCAAGGTCTTTGCGACCACTTGGCTGCCAGCAATCTCCAAACCTGAAAGACCGCAGGGTCTTAACAGAAACAGTGTCCTTGTCCTTGCAGCCAAATCCGGATTTTTGAAGCCCTTCCGCAAAAGCCCTTTCTATTTGTTACGGGTTTTGTATGGGTTAACTATGGGCTCTTGGGTGAAAAGGGTTATAGGGTCTTGTATGCCAGAGCACCTGGTGGTTCATAGGTGAGATGATGCCTCTAACTCTTGTTGCCTGACATCTCCAGCGGACAAACGACCCGTCGTTGCTCGGCGTCCGAGGTCCAACGGAGCCAGTGCCCGTGAAGGTCCTCGGTCGATCGGATCACTTTGGATCTTGGGGTGTGTCGTGGTGCGTCGATTTTGTCCACGCCCTTTGTTTTGTTGTCGGGAGGTATTTTCACATATTGACTGGCAAAGACCACTTCCAGCTGCGCACCAGCGTTTTCAACAGGGCCTTGGGCCTTTGCCGTACCAAGATGAGGTCACCTGAACGAACATGGTGGTGTCGCCGGAAGTCATTTCATGTGTTGCTTGAATCGGTCTAGTTCAACCACAGCTTATCACAGCAAGTCCAAGTCCAAGTAAAAGCACACATCGCTCAGCATGTCTCACCTCGCCAATCCTCGTCTTTGCTGCACCTCTCAGATGCTGGTTGGCCTGAGCATCTTTGTGAGTTCTGAGGGATCAGGCAGTAGGGCCCAGGGTGGCTGAGGAAAGAAAGATGTTCTACGCAATCACATGCAGCCCCTAGCCGGTTTTGGAGGTCTTCCAGGCACATATCAGTCAGGTAGTGTGTCGATACTGTCTAGTTAAAACTGTTAGGAGTTTCCAAGTTCAACTAGCACAGATTTGGAAAGGTAGGAACGACACCAAACATAGTCTCCAAGCTGCCAATTAGCCCACCATGCAGGCGGTTTCGCAGCCTTTTTGTATTGTTTGCTAGTGGGAGCTGCAAGATTTGCTCCAGCAGCCCAGCCGGCACTCAGAAGCCAAACGACGACTTCCAACATTCTTCATGATACGTCGTCGAGACGCTTTGTGTCAAGATATTGGGTGCTGCGCCACGGGGAACCTCGTTTGTGTCAGCAGTGGCAGGCCCTGATGACACTGATAGAGTCGAGGCCACGGGGATTGGCACTGATGTGAACAAGCTGTTTGCTCGACATTTTACACATTCAAAGTTCAGTACTTTTTAGTACTGTAGTGCATTTTCGAACGTAGAAGAAGACATTCTTGGTCATTTGTTCTCGACAAACATGCACACATGCACATGTTTGGCGACAGGTTTGATGGCCGCTCCGTTTGGCCGCAGTTTTATGGCCGCTGGGCACCATCCGGTGTGTATCGTATAGATCACAGGAACCGGTACCGCTCACTTTTCCCAAGGACACGGAACTAGGTCCCACTGCAACGAGACAGCCAGAAGTATCAAACATGACATACACGTAGGTCTTGTAGATTAGATATATAAGTACGAGAGCATGGGGCACAAACAGCACGCACCCCTTCATCTCGGCACCACAAGTCGGCCTTTGGCATCCGGAGTCCTCAGCCATGGGTGCCCAACAAGAGCCATTCCGACTCAAGGTTTTCAAGGCACCTGGGCAATTTTTGACAGATGCTTTGCGACTTGTTTGTTTGGTTTTTCTGCGGTATTGCATGGTATTGCTTAGGTTCATCCATATCAATCGATATTATATCAATATCACATTTATATAGTAGACTTGGCCGAAGAACAACTGCGACGAGGTCTTCTTTGCGGTGTCCATTGCGCTTTTGACGTCCAGCCTGGTCTTCGTCATCAACACGTCCACGGGAGCTTTTGCAGTTGGATCCATCGGAACTCAGCTCCAGTCCTCCATTGGCATTGGAATTGAAACTTACATGATCGGAAAGATGGAACCCTTGCGGATCTATTTGCAGCAAGGCATTCTCATGTTTGAGGAGTTTGGGTGGAACTTGAGCCAGTGGAGCGATTTGCAAAAGACTCTCCCATACCAGCGATCCTTTCTTGAGACCTACTTCGATGAATCCAGGTGCTGCTCAGGGATATTTACCAATCTCAGGTATGATGACGTTCTCCTTTGCCACGCCATGGAGAATCCGGATTGCACGGGAACCAACACGAACTCGATGGATGGAGAGCTTGGAAGCATGGACTTGGGGGGCGACAGCATTTGGGCGGGCGTGCTCCAGTATTCAGACACCTACACCACGGGGCAATACCCCGGACTCGATGTTTGCGACGGCAGCTGCCAGAATGAGCACAGTGGAGATTTTGTGCAGGTCCTACCGGGAAGACTCTCTGGTGGTCGCAACAACACCCTGACCTTCAGGCGCTGAAACATCGTTCCTGCTTGGGAAACCGGTGTGAGAGAGAATACGCTGCATCGATGTTGAGGGGATAGGCAACGATGATGGAACAAGTATGGAGAATATTGGATAATGAACTGAGAGGATATGAGAGTTTCTTTTGCTCATGACTGCCTTGCCTTGATTTTGCTTGATGTTCACGACAGGTGTTTCATGGTGTTTCCCCTAAGCGCTTGCGGACGGTGTGAGCCACAACACCCAACCTCTCTTGGGCAGGTGGTACGAGAAGCAGCGTTCCTTATCGCCCTGGTTGGGAGACGAATCTATTAACCCCGGATGCGTGGGAAATTCCAGTGAGTGCCGGCAGGAGGACAGTTTCGGGCATTGGGTGCAACCCATTGGCTTCGTTCATTGGCCGATTCAAGATGGATATTGGTACAGAGACATTCGCAAGTACAACTTGTCCAAGGGCGAAGTCCGCTTTGCCACTCGAGTTTTCCCTTGGACTTTGTATCCTCCAGCAGTTCTGAAGTCTCACATGTTCACCCCAATCTATAGCCCCGGCGGTGAATTGATTGGTGGTTGGGTGGTAGGTTTCAAGCTACATTGGATCACTGCCTACTTGCAAGAACTGAAGAAGCCGGCAGGGACCTTCATCTTTCTGGTCGAGCGCAAGACTGGGGTGCTGATTTCCACGTCCGAACCGGAGATTCGGGTCTTGAAGAACTACCACACAAATGCCAGTTACTCGGATGTGATCATTGCTACCGAGTCTCCCGACCCAAGAGTCTCCGAACGGGCCAAGCAATTGGTACAAATGGCCGGTGCTTCTGCGCGGGATTGGAGCAACGTCAGGAACTTGTTTGGCAGGCAGGGAATGGGAAGAGTGGGAAGATCCCAAGATTGCGTACGCCTATCTCGTCCTAGCTCTTTTTGCCCTGTTCAGTAACTAGGCTTTTCATCTAGAGCTCCAGGATAGCACGCAAGAGCATAGTAGCGCCTCTGTGCACAGAAGCAAGCGTCCGAAAGACTGTTGGAGGCCATCGCTAGTAGGTTCCCTGTCTAGGCCGGAGATTAAAACAACCGGCTTGGAGCCTGCCGAAGAGTTCCTTCTTTCTCGCGACTTTGAGTTCTTCGGCCTTGATTGGGTGATTGTCATCAGCATTCCTGGTGAGACGGTCTTGGCAGATATCACTGCGAACATGTTCACCCGCCTTTTCTCCATCCTGGGAGCTACTGGCGGCATGAAACTGGCTTCCTCAGTGCTGCTGGCCATCTTGATCGCCCTTTGTGGAAAGTGTTGTTATGGCGCTGCGCAAGTGGCAGATGATGGTGGAGAATCCTTCGGCACGATTCAGCCCCCAGACATGGAACCTGACGGGATTCTTCCGGATGCCTAATGGCCTCGCTACCGAACGGCCCGTAGTTCGTTGCATTGGCAAAGCCAATCGCGACTTGGAAGCACGGGGCTCCGGTTGTACTGGAGGTATAGCTAGGGCCCTCCGTAGCTCCAATTTTTGCTGCATTGTCGGATAACATCCGCCAGCAGGGCAAACCAGGAGTAACTATTTTTGACATTTCTGCGAAACTTGTGTGAGCGGCATTGTCCGTGCATATGTGCACTGCTCCGATTTGCTCAGGCTAAAAAGGTCGCAAGAAGTCTCAGAAGCACACACGCTGGATAGACAGATGTTACAATTACATGTGCATCCAGGATTCACGAACACCACCGTTAGTAGGTTGGAGGCCATCGCAAGTACGGTCCCTAACGATTGTTTGCTCGTCATTTCACAGGTGGACCGTTGGAGAGAAACAGTTTTCACCCGAATGTGCAGAAGACATGTCGGTACTTAGATGCCTCCAGGTCCAGCCCTGCCATAAGAGTGCGTCGGAGGATGACAACTGTGATGTCCAGCATGGCGGCTTGGCGAGGAGCCTGGACAGCATGTTTGAGATGCTTTCATTCGCCATTCGCTCATCGGTCAAGATACATCAATAGCCTGATGCCAAAGATGGGATGCTTACCGCAATCCTGTTTCGTGGCTGATTGCATTTTGCAACCCTACGGTACGGTGTTTTGAACTACTGTACCTGTAGCCGCAAGGTGCGCAGAGAACGTTGTTGTGCATCCGCGCGGCGGGTTTATTTTAGATGTTGGTTGCTGATCCGGATACTGTGTCATTAGTTGAACCACTATACTTGATGCTGAGGGAGTTCTTATTCTCACCTCATCCTCCGCAGCAGGAAGGGTTGCTTGCTGCCTTGAATTGGGCAGACTCTAAAATCAGCAGGGACATAAGAGAAGTGACGTGCAAAGCTGAGGTTTGAGGATTGGAGAGGCTAGTGCTGCATGTGGCACGGTGCCTGTGACAGCCTCAGTGCCAAAGGGGCTGATTCTTGGATGGGCTCAGATGAGTTGAGCTTCTAATGGCTGTTTGGCATTGTTTGGAACTTCTACACCTCTCCACACCTGATGTTTTCTTTGCATCAGATGCTTTGAGGTTGGCCAGTTCGGTATTTGTGCGCACAGAAAGCCGTCATGTGCTCAAGCCACGCCGCAACCCTGCGTGGACCGCATGTCCTCTGATGTGAACCACACTAAAAAGTGTTTGCAAGACCTGATCACCTATCGGCGCTATGCAGCTCTTTCCTCTCAGCAGAACTTCGGATTGTTGCATGCAAAGTGCGGGAGATTCAGGATGGCAACCATGATGAGCACCAGCTTCCCAAGCATGTTTCCATCAGGGGTGAGGACCGCGTAGAACGCAGCTATGACACCGTCAAGGTGGAGAGGCGGAAGAATTCTATTACTCGCCCATGGATGCTCAAGTTGAGCAGGTCTGGGTCAAGCCAGAGGACATTGGCCGCGAAGCCTGTGCCATGGAAGTCATTGCCAGTTTGAACCAGGAGTGGGAGGCAGGTGGCATCAAGGCATGTGGCCAGAAAGTGCATGCAAAGACCTACCGAATGCTGCTGGCAGGACACGATGATAGTTTGGTTGAGGTCGCGGAGAAGTGTGTGACGCTTGGAAAGCTGAAAAGGACAAGTGGCACGATGAGCAACATCATCAACAGTATCATCCAAAGTGATTCAAGGCCTGGCACGAGGGCTCGGCGATACTTGCAGAATGACAGCACCCGACTTGACAAGCTGGCTGCTTCCACAGCTGCTTTCCTTGCGTGCTCATACCTCCTGGGCATAGGAGATGGACATGGTGACAACTTGATGCTCACCGAAGATGGCGAGCTCTTCCGCATTGATTTTGGCTTTCTCTTCGGAGCGGGGCCCTTGGGGCCTGATGCTCCAGCTGTTTGGCTGCCATGGACAGTGCAGGAGGCCTTGGGACCCCGGATGCACGAAGTGATCGAAGCTGCTCGGGAAGCGGTGAGAACCGTGCTGTGCAGACCAGGTGTGCTCAAGGCATCGGTGTTTGCGGCGGCTTTTGCGGGACATCCGAGCCCTGAAGCATACGTCGCAGGTTTGAGTCTCGAAGACTTCAATCAGAAGGTCAGCAGTCTTGGAACCTTTGGTCTCTTCAAGTCGGCGAAGGACCTGTTCCACGATGTGGCCTATTGTGGAATTCCAAGGTGGCCTCAGAGGCCAGAAATCAACACAAAGTCTCCAGCAGCTTTGGCTTTCCTTATGTCAAGGTCTGATGCAGACATATGCACACCAGAATCATTAGTTCGCCGAAGGTAAAGCAAGCCTGCATGAATTGACAGAAGGTGCTGACGATATTTTTCTCGCCTTCCTAGCTGGGAGCGCCTTGGAAGCACTTCCCCACATTCCAACTGATGGATACATGTAGCTCTTGGACTGACAACGGTGAGAAATATCACGAGGCTGTTGTGCAGCAACTTGCGCGTGACCACGGGCTTTTACACAAAAATGGCCCGCTGGATCGGGACACTTGGAACCAATTGATGGAAGAAGTTGAATCAGATCCTCATGTGCGCATGCACGAGATGTATGAATGGATGGTCGAATGCATGCATGATAGGGTAAGGGAAGTGCAGCAAGTAGTGGCCGAGTGGATGCATGTTGATTGTCAAGAGGTGTGGGAGTGCTTGCAAGAACAACTGGGCAACGGTGAAGTTCTGCAACACCTTTCTGGTGCCACTTGGATCCTTCTGGCGTGGAGGGTCATCAATGCTTCTTGGTGTTGGTGCAGTGGCAGCATTGACAACAAAGACCTAGCAGAGCTTTTTTTGGCCGCAGTGTTGTCCAAAGGTGTGACAACCATCGGAGCCCTTCTAGCCATAGCCACACCCCTGGGATGTTGGGCTTCCCGGAGCCTCTTGCAATTCGTCGTGGGAACAGGACAGAGCCGATCTCTCGAGAAAGCTCTAGCAGTTTTGGACTTGCCAGTGAGCTCCAGCCTGTGGCAAGTTGAGGAGCGGTATGTGGAACTTTGCCATTCTCCTGGCGGTTTCGACAATGACCAGCTCAAAAAAGTCCACATAGCCTTCTTTCAAGCAAGCGACTTTCTGATGAGAATCAAAACAAACTGAAGCGGTGCAAAGACGTGCTGCCGAGTTGGTGAATAATTCAGGAATGAAACATTTGGTCGCAGTGTCTGCAGCGTAGACCTAGAAGGTCTTTTGCATCTTCTTGTTCTCTAAGGTACCGTGGCGTGTTCCTTGTGTCAAAATGGCCACTCCTTACGGTAGCAGTCCATTTTCCCGTTCACTGAGCGCATTTGAGACTTCCAACTAGGACTCACCGCACAGCCTATACTGATCAGCTGAGGTTCCCTCTCAAGCATCAATGGTGCATACCTGGGCAGATGCGTGTGAAAAAAAGTCTGGTTCGAGGACAATGGCGTGGGTCGGCCATTGTAGTGCGCGCGACGCGTGCATTGGTTTTTGGGTTTTGCCGAAGAAGACCTAACGAGCACAGAACAGCGCACCAGTGCATTCAAGCCTGCAAGTCGCCGCCTTTTTATGTCAAGAATGATGAAGGCGGCTTCAGTCTTCCACTCCCCACTTCGCTTAGGCGTGCTACCGGCTGCTTGCATCATTTCTTCTTGGCTCAATCTTGGCCGTTTGAGACGCGCCATCTGCGCGATGTCCAAAGCACATAGCGTGGCTCACTCAGACTTGACAGAACACAAGAGGACTGGATATGACTGGTTTTGCCCGCCATGTGGCACACTGGTACTGTAAGGAATCCACATGTGATATATATATATATAGATTCGATCGACTGATATGTGTTGCGTCGTATGTTTGAGTCACATGTTTGCTAAAGAGGACTTCTGCAGCCGGCCTAAGCGGCCGAGGCACATGCGTGTGGATGCCACAGAGTTCGTTCCTGCGAACTATCAGTGGGGCCAGTACTCAGGATGCAGAGCGGGTTGGTGGTTGGGGCTGATGGATTTGGCGGGGCAAACTTGACGATGGAGATGTTGTTGCGGACACGTGTTTGGCCAGGTTGGAGGGCTGCTTTACATGGGTGAAAACGGTAAAGACCAAACCGCCCTAGGTTGTGAGATTGTATTTTTCTGTGAGGTGCCAGGCCTATAAAACGCCTTTTTCCGCATTTTCCTTCTAGTCAAATATGTTTGATCAAGGGCCACGAGATCAGTTTGTTGTCGCAACTAAGGCCCACAGAAAGGCCGCAGCTGTCTGCTAACACTCCAGCCTTCGTCCCGGGCGCCGCGCAGGCACATTGCTCGAGCTTCAGACAGCAGAGTTTGCGTCAATGAGACGATCCCCTTTTTGGTGCCCGTTGTGGGAGATGACGAACCGGCAGTGGCTGATTGGAAAAGAGTCGGGCTTGTTCACAGCTCGTAGCACCAGGCCCCTTGGACGTCCGAGTGGGCTCAAGCCTTAGTCAACCTGGACAGGAAGCGATGACCAAGTTCTCGAGCTTTAGTTGCTTCAGCCATTCACCTTCACGAAGGGATTTGGAGTTGTTCGGGTGTTTGCAGACCAGATGACTTTGCAGACGACTGAAAGAAGGTTTGGCAGGAGCACCCGGAGGCTGCAGAGTGCCCAGGGCGGTGCGAGGCGTGTGTATTGCACTGGCTGGCTGATGCTGGCTGACTATTTTTTGGAGCTGCTCCACCATGGGTTGAAGGCCGGTGCATCCATGCGATGGCAATACCGCAATACCTAACACCCCTGTGTAGGTTCTTCCCAGAAAACCATATCCAACCAGTTGAGAAGGCCCACTGCACCCCTGAGCCCCCAAAAATCCAGGAAGTTTACAGAGGCCATCGCTAGAAGGTTGGAGGCCATTGCTATTGAAAACAAAAACAGAAAAGGACTCCCAGAAAGCCATCGGGCCCACGGCGGGTAAAGGCGATAAAGGCCTGATGGCTCTACAGATCGCAAGGTACAGCGCAGCCTTCCAAGAAGAGGATGCTTTTGATGAGGTGATGGGAGATGAAAGATGCTTTTCCTTCAAAACGTTTGATGCCAATCAGTTGGTGAATGTGCTTGTCTAACACGCAGGAGAGCTTTCTGACGCCGCAGCTGCTTCCAGAGTCCTCTGGCGTGCCGCAGTTTGCATCCCTTTCTCCAAAGTCACTTGGTGACGTGCAAATTCTTCAGAGAAACTAGTAGCAAGGTGCATCGCTACTAGGACCAAGGGCATCGCTACTAGTACTTAGAAGCTACTAGTAACAAGAAACTAGAAGATCTGACAGCGTCTTTGTTAGTGGCGATGCCCTTTGTTACTAGTAGCTATTGTTGCTAGTAGCGAGGCCAGGAGCTACTAGGCTATAAAGTTGGAAATTTGGAGACTCCAACGAGGTCGAGTCAGGAAGATGACGGAAACCCACCCGCAACTTGGAGGGCAAAAGTGTTCTGTGGGTGTCACTGAAGCGATAGACCTCCCTTGGTTTGCTGGGAGCTTTCTTGGCCATGTCAAAAATTTGATCAAAATGATCACCTGAAGCCTGGGGTTTGTTAATCTAACATAACAAGCAGCGCACTGCTTTGGAAGGATTGGGATCCGGGGCCGCTTGGTTGCACTTATTGGTTTAGTTCGTTGGAGTTTGTTAGTTTTTTAGAGCCCAGCTTTGCCACAAAGAGTGCTGGGCCTAGGCTCAGTAGCCAAGCCAGCAGCCACGCTGCCGCTGGCTCCGGAGCTGGCTCCGCAGCTGGCGGTCACGGCCTTTGGGCGCACGATGGCGTACGCTTTGCATCCCCTCTCCTGACCACCCAGACGCCAGAGGAAGCTTCCTACGGACATTAGGATACTTGACGGGTGGGAGGGGATCTAGTTGGCTAGCGTAAGACTGAGTGAGAGTCCCTTTGCGAAGGGCTTCAGTGGTCCCGGCTTTGAGGTTCAACTGTTTTGCCGCGGCTTGGAGTCCTTGCGGTGGAAGGGCGGCGGCTGCAGTGGTGCATCGAGGGATCAAAGCTCAGTGAGCTCAGTGAGCTCAGCAGTCAGCTCGGTGTTGAGATGGACATGTCATGATTGGCTAAGGATCAGATGTTGGCTTCTCCCCTGAGGATTGTGCTCAAGGTGAAGGCACCATCCATTGGGCGACTTCACGATTGAACTTTGTTAGTTTTGGAATGAATATTGCATCTATCATCAACGACATAATTTTGCACTTGTGTAGTTTGGCCGCATCTGGCCTGTAGCGCAAGGAAGGCTCAAGGAGCGAAATGTCAAGGACAAGGCCCAAGGAATGAAGTCAAAAGAATACAATCTGGACCACGGGAGGGTTGAACATCCTTGTAAACACCAGGGTTGAACAAAGTAGCATTTGGCTTCAAAGTGTCAAGCAGAATCTCCAGTGACGATGAGACCCTTCGGATGAGCTCTATGAGGTCCAGCCGGCAACGCAAGCCCTTTTTGTGCCGCAGATCTTCTGACATGAGGTGACGCGAGGTGACGTTCTCCACAGGCTCGGCGTATGGTCGCCGATGCCAAGAAGAGAAAGACATTTGAAGGAGACCACTTGGATTCGTTCGGTGCATCTCCTGGATGCAGATGTTTTCTCCAGAACCACCTACATCAGCAAGTGCGGGGCTTGGGGGAAAGCCTTGGAAGCCTTTGCGGGCTTTTCTGCTGGCAGAGTTGAACCGAGCTTTGTCACTTATAATGCTCTCAGTAGTGCTTTTGACAGAGGAAGTCGCTGGCAAGAGGCTGGACTTGTGATGACGACCATGCGTGCAGATGGTGTGGAAGCAGATGTGGTCACTTACAACACTGCTTTCAGTGCTCTTCAGACATCATCACAATGGAGAAACGTAGGAAGCCTTCTGAGGTCCATGGCTGCAGGTGGAACATCTCTGGCCAATCATCTCAAAGTCAGCAGTCGATTTCTCATTTTGTTCTCCCTTCCGAAGATGTCTTGAGCCACCAGTAGGTACAACATTCAGCACCCAAGGAACTCTATAGCAATAAGGAGCTCCTTCCTGAATACACCGTATCCCTTAAATACTAGCATCAGGTGGACATCACCTATCCGTAGCTGCTTAGCTGTCACAGCCAAAATGGATGTCACCGATCCGAGACGTCAGTCGTCCAGTTCCGTGTGTCCGCGACGTCGAGGATCGTATCACCTTCAACTCCGCCATCACAGCGGTGGAGCACTGGACCTGGGCCTTGTTGCTCTTGGACATTCTCCGCAGCACGCACGTGCCGAATGTCAGGGTCCCAAGAAGTGGGACATAGTGGGAGTCTCTGGGGCTCCAAAAAACAGACGAACAGCGCGTTACATATCTTTTGTTTAAAGGTTTTGAGCTTCGGATTTCTATATAGAGATGCATCTTTTTGAGATGGCAATGGTTGATTTTGGATGGCGACGCGAGCACTTGAGGTCATCACCTATTCCGCGGGCCTCAGTGCTTTTCGACAGTGGCGTCAAGCCAGCTCCTTGCTCGAGTCTGGGCGTGTGACATTTTACGATAGATTTTGTTCCAAGCTACTAGTGGCGTCCTTGCTCCTAGTAGCAATGCCCTTTGTTTCTAGTAGCTTCTTGTTACTGGTAGTAAGGCCAGGAGCTACTAGTAGCGTCCTTGCTCCTAAGTACTGGGTCACTTTTTGCATGGCATTGTCGGTGGCAGTCATTTGGTAGTCGTCAGTCACCCCCGCTACCTGGTAGCTACCTGACTCTTGCTTCCCGATGAGGAGCAAATGAAGGAGGTGCTGGTGGAACCCACTGTGGTGGCCTGCGGTGCCATGATCAATGCTTGCGAGAAGTGCGCTGAATGGCGAGCGCCACTCCTTCTGATTGAGTGGCTCCAAGAAAACCAGGTGCAGCAGAATGTCGTTGCAATTAGTACTGCCATCAGTGCCTGTGAAAAGGGAAGTCGTTGGCAACTTTCCTTGGGTTTGCTTCAAAACTTGCAGAAGAGAACCCTTCAGGAAGATCTCCCTGCACACAATGCAGTGATTTGCGCTTGTGCTGCTGGGAGTCTAGGGTCGCTTGGAAAAGCTTGGGAGTTGGTCCACAGCTTGCTGGAGCGTTCCTTTGTCAGGTCCTTGAGGCCAAATACCTCCACCTACAATTCGGTGGCGGGGGTCTATGACTATGGGGCTTGGGAGGAGGTGATGCAGATCCTAAGACAGCTGGATATACACTCCACTAGAGCGGATGCGATGACCTTCACAGCTGCAGCTGCTGCTTGCGAGAAGGTTGTGCAGTGGCGATATATTCTGCACTTGCTGAAAGCCATTGATCCATTTTTTGTCGACATGATCACACTGAATTCCACTCTCAGGGCCTGTGCCCGTGGTGTGCAATGGATGCGCGTCACTTGTCAGTCTTTTTCTCAAGCCTCCTTTGAGGTTCATGTTGGGTCTGGTGAAGCGGGTTGTTTTGCATGTCCTAGTCGTAAATTTCAGGCAGAACAGCTGCTCTCGGAGATGCAGACGTTGCACCTTGTCAGCCCTGACATCACCTCCTGCAACGCAGCCATCACTTCCTATGGCAATGGTCGCCAAGCTCATCGTGCCTTGCTATTGTTCGAGCAGTCTTTGGAATACAGGCTGGAACCAAGCGAGATCACATGTAATGCAATTCTTGGTGCTTGCGCCAAAGGTAGTCTTTGGGCAGATGCCTTAGGCATTTACGATACGCTAACAGACTTCTTCGTGACAAGCAGTGTCATCGCCTATGAGTCTGTTTTCCTGGCTTGTGAACTTGGAGGTCATCCAAAGGAGCTATTGCTATTGTTGGACTCCATGCGTTTGGAGTGTGAAGCATCTTTGGCTCATTGATCCAGCTCTCACCGTCGCACTGAGCTCAGCGGAGACCTCGCGGGTCTCCTCGATGCCAGATCATGGGCGTCACGGGTCTCCGAAGTGCTTCGCTTGGAATTGTTCCACCAGAATCATCATGGACAAAGCCCACGACATCAGAAGATATGAGTTTCTGTCGCTTCAGTTGCAGGGCAGTCTGGACTGATTTGGTTTGATTTGGTCTTTGGTGCAGAAAGGACACTGCAGCCTATATAGTGAATGTAGTGCAGCGTGCGAGCCTAAGGCCAAAAGGCCGTCGATGGCAGTTGTTTTTTTCTTGCGAAGAAGTGGTGAATTTGAGTTCAGATGCAGGTGTGGAGAGCCAGAAATTCAGCGTTGCAGGCAAGGTGTCGTTTCAGGCGTTGGAGCAGTCCCAATGCAGCACGTGAGGGTCGGTCCGATCCAACAAGAACGTGATGCCAGATTTGATCGGCGAAACGCGCCGGAAAGACGTCTAGACGCACAGTAAGTTCTAAGCAAAACGTCTAGACGTCGCAGGTGTTCTCCTCAGACTGGCCTTCTTTCCAAATGGCACCTCGATGACGGGAGATGGGGATTGTGCAGTGGCGGTGCTTTGTGAGGCAGGTCGTGGCCTTGGGCCAACACCTGTTTTGCGTCGGCCTTGTCGACCTGGCGTGCCAGGAGAAGACAAAGCTCAAGTTTGAGCTTTTTCTCAATGGCCGCCGCAGTGGCGCAAAGGTCATGCTGGGACAGAAGTTTAGCTACTTGGAACAAGAAGCTACTAGGGGCTCCTGGCATCGCTCCTAGGAGCGTTTGGACGCTACTAGGGGCGCTCCTGGCCTTACTACTAGGAACAAGAAGCTACTTGGCAAGACGGGATGAGATTTGACGCCCATACCCATACCTTGCTGCGCCTTGCTTGTAAGGCTGTGACTTCCGCACCCTGACTGCATGAAAGACTTTCATTTTTTTGGGTCCAAGTCTTGCCAAATCAGTCACACGACGTATGATACTAGTTCGACAGTGCTCAAGTGAATTTGTTCCTCGTTGGCTGAGGAAAGCCATCAGAAGACGCCAGTAGCACCCTGATCGCTATTGAAGTCTACAGCAATTTGCTTCTCGGAAGCGAAAAGAACCCGAACCACCAATTTCATGCTTTTTCGTTGAATTCAATATTGGATCGAATGAACGAATAAATGACAATTTCAATCTGTGTGACCAAGGTCAATGATAGGATTTTATTGAAGAAATGTACACATGGATTGTGATATATTATGTATTTTAAAGAACGACTTCTTTATTGTTGTTACTAAAGGTTGTGGACCAAAACCGTGATATACTAATTGCATCTAAACATACAGTGAGGATTCCACGGCACTGATCTGCATAGCGGCATAGCGACGGATATGACGTTTTGGAAACTTCGGGTACAAATGTGTGACACCGTAATGGAAGTCTTAGTGGGTGGCGCGCATTTAGCCCCTTTCACGAAAAATACTGTTGAGAGCGGAGGACACTAGGACAAGGACGCTACTAGGGGCTCCTGGCCCTACTACTAGGAGCAAGAAGCTACTAGGTGCTCCTGGCCCTACTACTAGAAACAAAAAAACTAGGGGCTCCTTGCCCTACTACTAGGAGCAAGAAGCTGCTAGGGGTCCTGGTTCTAGCACTGGGAGCAAGAAGCTGCTAGGGGCTCCCGGCCCTACTACTAGGAGCAAGAAGCTAGTAGAGGCTCCTGGCCCTACTACTAGGAGCAAGAAGCTAGTAGAGGACACAAAGAAATTAGACAAAAGAGGCGGAACATGAGGATAGGAAGGATTTTAAGGGAACGGATTGGGAGAAGAGGGAGAAGAAAGGGAAGGTAATGAATTGAATGCGGAAAGGAAATGCAGAAAGGAGATTGGGAGACAGGCAGAACGGAGGAGGACGTGGTAGGAAAAGAGGGTCTGCAAGCAATCTTGGAGTTGTTTGGGGATTTTTTAATTGTGAAGACGCCTGTTAACCATACGTAAAAGGGAGTGTAAAAGGGTATCCCATATGGGGTGCGAATTGATGCGGTCCGTTGAGGGCAGGAGAGGGCATAGAGCAAATATTGATCGTGATCTTCGCGGTAGATTTCAAATCGATCGGCACCAATTTATGATTCCATTTACAAGACAAGAACAACACGCGGCAGGCAAGCGCCCCTCATTTCCTTAGGGGAGCTTTTTTGTCCATTTCGAAACGCTCTTGAGCCGGGGGGGAAAAGGACACTCCCCCCCAAACCTGTGCATTCCGCATTCTATTTGTATCTCCTTTCGGCGTGGCTGCAATGCCGATTTCATGCCAAAATAGAAGTATTCTTTGCCCCATGTTCGCCAAGCACTTGATCTTGCACGCCAAGTCTTTGAGTCCATCTACAGGGCACGAATAACAAACAGCAGGCAAGTTCTCGTGGTTCCTTACGGGTGCCTGTTTTTAGCTTAAATCGTCCTTGAAGCGGTGGAAAATAGGGTGCCCCCCCTAACCTATGTATTCGATTTTCTATTTCCATGAGGTCAAACAATCGCATGAGCTCGGCAATAAATTTTCCCCAATCCATTCTTAGCAGCACGTTTGGCTGTATGAATCTATCTACAAGACAAGGCAAACAAACAAACAAACAACAACCCTTCAACAAGAACAGGGGCGCCCTACCGCCCCACCTGTGAATGAACACCGGTTATATTCACCTTTATTGCAATTTTCCAGCTTTGCCTTTTCTTTCCCCATTCCCGACAGCGGTGCCAATGAGCGCCCGACTTCACCTCCCATTGCTATATTGATAATTTCTTACATAAAATGATTTTCGTCCCCTCATGGTAATATAAATTGATATTTTTTAGATATATTAGAATATATATATATATAAATTGATATATTTTTGGCATTTAAATTCTTATTATAGAAATTAAATAATCTAATTAAAAAATAATTAATTTCTAAATTATAAATATTCTTAAATATATTATAAAATTACAATAATAATATATATATTATATATCTATTTTTTAATAAATATACAATTATAAATAATTAATATTTAACAAATAAATAAATACAATATATTAATTTATAAAATACTAAGAACATAATCAATATATTTCGATATTCGATATATAAATATAAAAATAAATAATGAATAAATATATTTGATTTTTTTTTTTTTAATGAATAATATTTATATTTATGAATATTGGCCGGAAATAATATAAAAAATATATTGGAAATATATATTTTTTAATTTTAAATATATATTAAATTTAATTATTTAATTTAATTATTTATTTCGAAATATTGTTATTTAATATTTTAATATATATATTATGAATGAAATATATTTAAATAATTAATATTTTATATATATTTTATTTTAAATGATTTATTTGTATTTGTCGTAATTTTATTGAAATTATTGAATTTTTTTTATTAAAAAGAATATGATTTTTTGAAATATTTTTTATGATGCCTAACGAAATATTTTTTTAAAATATTTTTTTTATAATTTAATGGATTAATTTTTAATATTTATAATACTATTGATGTTAATAACGGTGGTAATAATAATAATTTATTTTTTGATGTGTGGCATATTAATGGCAATGAATATATTTATAATGATGATTATGGATTATTATTTATCCTTTGATTTGTGGGATATATATATTTATATAAGTATTGTAATCTGTGGTAATTTTATTCTATTTACCCTTGAATTGCGGCATTGGGAATCTAAATGGAATTACCAATTGAAATTGTATTATCAATATTTATGCTAATGATAATGGGATACCATTTATCTTGTAAATTGGGGGAATTTGATGTCATTCACCATATTAATGGAAAATATCATTTCTTTTAGGATCTTGATATTAATATTAATGTTTATGATATTGGGAATATATAATGCTAATATTGATATTTATAACAATGGAAATATTTATAATAATGGAAATAATATTATTAATGGATATTTATCCTTTATTTATGGTAATATTGTATGGGATCTTGATGCTATTCATTATAATGCCATTTTCATTATGACTTGCGGGAAATTGATATTGATGCTAATAGTAATAGTAGTGTTTATGGCAATATTAATGGTATTAATAATGATTATTTAATCTTGATTTGTGATAATGATATATGGAATATTGATGCCTTTCGTTATAATGAAATGATTTTCTTGTGGGGGAATTATGTATCCTGTGACCTGGGAAAGGGGGAGCTTGATGCCGTTCACCCTCGATTTGTGGCAATAAGGATTACAATGGCAATGCCAATTCCTGCGGCAATGATAATGCAAATAATGATGGCAATGCAAATGCAATGATGATAATAATGCCATTCATCCGGAGAATTGGGGGACCTTGATGCCAATTATCCCGTGACCTGTAGTAATGACAATGCTAATGATAATTGTGATACTAATTCAATTCACCCTTTGACCTGTACGGATGAGTTGTGGAAGCTTCTTGCCATTCTCCCTTTGATCTGTAGGGACTATATACCTATATATATATTGTAATCTGGGGCAATTTGATTCCATTTACCCTTGAATTGTGATATTGGGACTCCAAATGGAGTTGCCAATTGAAATGATAATGTTAAAGGATACTAATCCTAATTAAGACATGTGGTGATGCTAATGACAATAGAAATGCTAATGGCCATGATAATGGGATATCATTCGGGGGAATTTGATGTTATGCACCATATTAATGGAAACGATAATATCATCCCCTCTAGGATTTTGATATTAATGCTAATATTTATGGTATTGGGAATATATAAGGCTAATATTGATGTTCATAGCAATGGAAATATTTATAACAATGTAAATAATATTATTAATGGATATTTATCCTTGACCTATGGTAATATTATATGGGATCTTGATGTCATTCATCATAATGCCATTTTCCCTGTGATCTGCGGGAAATTGTTATTGATGCTAATAGAAATAATAGTGTTCATGGCAATACTAATGATATTGTTAATGATTATTCAACCTTGATCTGTGGCAATGATATACAGAATATTGATGTCCTTCATTATAATGAAATATGCACCCTATGACTGGGAAAGGGGGAGCTTGATGCCGTTCACCCTCGATTTGTAGCAATAGGGATTACAATGGCAATACCAATTCCTGCGGCAATGATAGTGCAAGTGATGATGACAATGCAAATGCAATGATGATAATAATGCCATTCATCCGGAGAATTGGGGGACCTTGATGCTAATTATCCTCTGACCTGTAGCAA